ACCCGGATTCAATTTGATAGTGTCCGCCAATTTCAGGACACTGTAGTCGTTGTCAAACTGTGTGGGAGTGTTGTACGACTCGTGTTGGCGCACCTCCGCTATGGCCACCGTGTTATCGAGGGCTGTCCGGTCCAGACCACCATATTTCACACTTAGATCAGCCTTGGTGAATCTTTAAAAAATATTTTACCAAGTTATTTACTTTATATATTAGTATACACTTTAATAAAGTATAATATTTTATGTGTTAGGCCTACCCGTCAGTACAGTGAGCGGCGGTTATGGCGTATTGGGTGCCATAGAGAGAACAGCCGCATATGTGTTGACTACCGAACCACCCGCTGGCCCACAGCGAGCCCTGGTGTTTGCCCTGGGTTTGGGTGGCCTCCACACCGCCTACGATACGACCGCCCACTCGGTGTACAGCGAACTTAGTGTCCAGTTTGGCGCACTGGACGCCCGTCAGACATAGCACCAGAATTATGGCAGCACCGGTATTCATGGTTATGTGTTTTTTGCAATGAGAAAAGTGATGTTAATTTTGTGTTTTGTTTTAATATTTATATGAATTTTAAGATAATTAAAAATGTGTTAAATATTAGGTGAAATTTTTATTGTACCCTGTTTTATGTTTTTGGGATAGCACATGAACTTCACATCCTGGTGCTTATCATGTTATTAAGAATATTTAATTTTAATTATTATTTATACAACTGATTTATTGTAATATAATAATTAAAATAGCGGTAAGTGTGCTAAACAGTGATTGTGTTTTTAATTGTAATTTATTTTATTTGATTTATTGTATTGATATACTGTATTACAAAACTATTCTAGATAAATTTCATAGACAAATAAATAGTAATAATATTTTTCTAGGAAAAGTGTATAATTTGTGTATATTACAAATAAAGTGATGTAATGCATTATAAAGTAAGCCATTATTTCACTATCAGTATCTAACTTACTATAATTAAACATTTAAAATTATAAATAAGTTAATTTATAGAAAAATTTTAAATGCAATAATTTTATTTGATTTTTAATGAATTGCATTTATGGAAAATAAATATTCTTTAAATTTTAAATATTTATTGACCGACGTGTGCTTACTGTTTATTACACCAGGATAATAGTGCAGTACCAGTAAATATTTATACCCAAATTACACTAGTTATCTTTATGATTATTGTCGTAATAATTATAAAATTGAAATTTAAGTATTGTTATAACAATAAGTACAGTATTACAGACTGTTTGAAATTATTCTATAATTTAGTAATATAATTATTGTAATATTTTATTTTTCAACACGATTAGTTTAATATCGCTAAATATTTAAATAGGAATTTAAAAACCTAATATTTTATAAGCAATAATCTTGCCATTTGTATAAATAATAATAATATTTATTTATCAAAAATTAATAGTTATAAAATAATATTAATTGAATTAAAGATTTATCTGTATTTAAAAGATAATCTGTAGTACAAAATAAAAATTGTATATTTTTTAAATCTAGGATTATTTAAAATAAATATTTTCATAAGGGTTAACAATATTTGATACAAAATATTATGTGATGGCTATGAACATAGACAGGGCAGGTATTATCTCCGGGGTACCCAAACATATAATTCATAGGCACACCAACAGAGATAATACCTGACAGTCTATGTCTGCAGACAAATACATAATACTTTGCGATCATAGCATTTGATTTCTTTTATATGTAAACCAAAATACAATAGACTCCTTATTAGGAAATACATTTAAGTCAAGAAATATTTACATTTTATAATATATTTTTTACAACTTGATAACAAAATGAAATAATTTATCAAAACTAGCAATCGAAACAAACATTTCATTAATAATAACTTATTATTCAACTATTTGATACCAACTATAACACATTTAATGTCCAAAATATTTATTAACAATTTAAATATAAATCTCAATACTTTATAACCATTTTAAAGAGACATTAATTTAAATATTATATTCATAACTAAACTTATTCAATGTTTATCAATATTATGTATACTGTTACATTTTCATGTAAGTTATATTAAATAGAATTAAATATATAAATAGAGTTACATTTTATTAAGAATATCGGGGGTGTCACACAAATATTTGTTGCAATAAAAAGCCAACTTTCCAACGATGCCATCAATCGGATAGTAATGACTCTTAGGGCTGGTGTTCATAATGGCATCAATTATATCGTTGACCACAACATTGGGATTGCCTTGCGCAAAACTCATACCCTGTAACTTGACATACAGTTTCTTGATTTTATCACAATATTGGTCTCCATAACCACTCTTAACCGACTCATCCGTTTCATTCCACGCCTTTTCCAAGCCTTTCAACTAAAATATATAAATTCAAATTTTATAGATTTTGATTAACAGAATAAATAAGCTAAATTCTTATAAATGAGCTAGATAGTTTTAAAAGTATACCGCTATATTAGTTAACTCCGTGTGTGCATAATACCCTGGACATATTGTAGACACAGTGACACCGAATTCATTCATTTCTTTACGGAGTGTCTGAGAAAATCTAAGGACCGCTGCTTTTGACATACAATATATCCCGAGGTTTTGTAGTGAACAATAGGCAACTATACTGGAATAGTTGATAACTCGCCCTGGTAATATAAGTTGTTAGTTAGCATTCATAACAATTTCTCAATGTATATAAACCTTTTGACTGTTTAATTAATGGCAGGAATATTCTGGTGACTCGTATTACACCGAAAACGTTGACTTCAAACACATTTTGTATGGACTCTAATGAACCCCAATCTAAACGGCTGTATAGCATAAGCCCCGCGTTGTTGATCACTGACCACAAAACCACATCGTTTTTGGTGAGATCTTCGGATACTTGTTGGTAGACGTGTCGGACCTCCTGATCGTTAGTGACATCCATTTTGATGACAACCATCTGATCGATGAATTGACACTTTTTGGACAGCATTTGTGCGCCGGAAGTGTTTGTGTCGTAAACAGTGGCGTAAACTCTAAATCCGAGTCCATTGAGACTCAACGCCAGGAGGTTTCCGAAACCAGTGTCACATCCTTTGTGTAAAATTTTTAAAAAAATTGTAAATTTAATAAAAGTATAATTTTCTTATACCTGTTATGAGAACAGCCTTTCCCTTAGAGGTAATC